ATATGTGTAATTCAAAGAATTACCAAAAATATATATATAAATAGTTAGATTAGAACAAAAACTAAACGCGAAGTCAAAAATTTATTTATGGGAACATAATCCTCATTTTGAGTATTTATATTTTCAAAGCACACTACTCAAGTGCGATTGTTGAAATGATTGCTTACCGACAGCAAAGTAAATATATTTGCCTGCATTTTGTAAAAATAGTTCTGAAAGCTTGGAGTGCATATTTTCATAATGTATTTATCTTAGTTTAGTGAAACATTTGGAGATAAAAAGTGTTTTCGAGATCTAAGGTGGGATCAGATGCAATGAAGAAGTGATTATCCCTTGATGTCCGATCAGACACGCCAAGTTTTCCTTGGCAAGATAGTGAAATAACTGGAAAATCCATAAATTCTATGCATAATTAATAAACTTACAATCTGTATAAAAAAATAGTATTTTACTGAATGATAAATTGTGTTTACTGACAAAGCCATTGTATTGACCTTAGAACTGACAAAAAGATGACTTTAAACAAGACTTCTTTTTAAAAATGTTCATCTTGCATATTAATCAACTGGGATATAGAAGCTCCGTTTGCAGGTGATGAAGGTATATTGCTGCATAAGTAAGGGAAGTTGACGATAGAAAAGTTAAAGTCATTACGGTTATCACAGAACTTGGTTGTTAAATGTAGATAATAATAACCATTTACGTCTTTTTTAATTTAAATATCCAAATATGAAGAGATGTGTTAGACTCTGTGGTATCTTTTCTGTTAAACTCACCAGGATATATAATATCGACATTAAAATGGAAATTACAAGTGTCAATTGACAACACGCTGTCTATATATCTAATTGTCGAAGGTCACAACAAGTTTTTTCTTCTTTTTCCGGACAAGATTTTGCACCAAATATTCATTTAAATGCAAAAAATATGTCCGCTAATAACGGGACGTAATTGGTATCTATGGGAATCCCAATAGATTGTTGGAAGCGCTAGTCTCCAAAACAAAAAAAAAACATATAGATATTGTCAATCAAACACTCAAGCATCGTTTTTATCTTCAGAATGTACAATCAGAATTTTTGTTTTTAACAAAAAAACTTTGCAAATGACAAATGACAAGGTAAGTAAATTATGAGTTTCATTTCTAATGTAAAAGCAGCTGTCAATGATTTTAAAAAGCCTAGTCTTTAGTTTATTGTTGGTAATGGCTATGTAAAAAGTTGAAAAAACGTTTATTTTTAAGCTGTTGATTTTGCTAAAAGATTTCAAATTGTTCAAGTTTAGAAAAATACTATTTTTAAACTGAATTTCTGAGAATTCCTAATTTATATAATTATACTAATCTTGTGTCCTACAGGAATATTTTGCATTTCGAATCAAGTAAGTCGAATAACGAGTATATAACTGAAAATAAGCATGTATGTCTTTAAAAATTGAATGACAAGATATAACTTTTTTATCGGTTTTATGAAGCGTGTATTCGCTTTTAGATGTATTTCTCCGTGATATACATGTATAAAATACATATATGTTTACAGTAAATTCTATATTACTAAGTAGTAGAAAAAAGAAAGGAAAAAGGTTCATTGTTACTCTGATAAGAGAAATAATTTAATGACATAATTGTCTATTATTGCTTTAACAAATTTGTCGGGTTGAAGTGTCTTTTTGTCCAATTTTGCCTTGTAAGATATGCTTTAATTGTTTGTATTTTACATATAAAATACGTATTTTTTCGAAAATCATATTTGAGCAGAGGGCCGGATTTAAACCTTAAAATAAAATTTGGAAATTTTACATAATGTTAAAGTATCTTGTATATAATTAAAGTTTATTTATTTAATTAATTATGATATCAGTATAAATTATATTTAATCTGCCAAAGACGGAAATAAAAATTATTCATGTTGCGACCATTTTACCTAGAAACATCCAAATTCATTACAAAATTCGGTCCATGTAGGATAAAAAAATGTACATTGTGGTATCGTTGTGAATAGATGTAAATATTTTTTCTACAGAATCACAAAATAGATATTTAATTAAAGATTCAACGAACCGTGTTCATATTTATGAACTAACAAGCTTTAAGTACATGTACAATGAAAAGGAAAATACCCTCATCATCTATTAGGGACAGTGATTACTATAAAAGAAACTGGTACATGCAGGCTCAATAGGGAAACAAACAATTTAAACAGATATCTGGAAGCTTATGTACGAAAGATACCACAATATCCAGAATCCAAGAATATATGATACCATTTTATGATTATATAAAAAAATATTATGAATACTGAAGAACAATTAATGCACTATAAACATTGCATATCCAATCTTATTCACAAAATTTGACGATCATCGAAAAGAAAACGAAAAAATAAATTTACTTTGAAAATTTCTATCGTTTAAAACGGTGTCCTCTAAGTGACGTCCAATCTGGGTAATGATCATGTCAAGATATTGCACAAAATTTAATAAATTTAAGACAACAGTGAATTTTTCTTTAGCTTTAATCTGCATATTCATCGATAAATTTATCTTTTTAGATAGATTAAAGAGTTAGATTTAGTTTTTGTTTCAATGTCTTTAGATCGGACTTGATAATAACAGTTTTGAAAACGAGGGTACCTCTAGCTTGTTGATAAATCCATTTTGCTTCTGTTTGAGATCTTTTACTTAAATAATTTGTCGCTAACATTGTCTTTAGTCAAATATTGAATGAGAAAAATATCAAAGAAATTGGTCAAGCCTGAGGGCCATAAAACTTAGACGAGTTTACTTTTTATCTCAGTCTCGCTTTTACACTATATATTTCTTTGGTGTACGTGAGAATAAGATCAAAATTGAGCTCGTCTAAGTTTTATGACACCTAGGCCTGATAATAATTTCAAATGGTATCTTATATTATGGGACACCCTGTATATGCAATGATATAAGAATATGAGTTTCTGAGTTTTCACTAACCAGATTCTTTCTTCTGCTACATGCACCATCTTCGTTGGCCCAGGGCTTATTACAAGCTGCATTAAGAGTTAATTTGACAGTCACCAAAAAAAAAAAAATTATGTATCGTCTATATATCAAATGGGTTTGTAGTCACTTACGTCATCCTAAGGTGATAGTGTCTTATTGCTACATATAAACAGTAGAAAATTTGAAGTCATTGCTTTTACTTCACGTTTTGTTGTTAGTTTGTATCATTGTCTCTACCCAGCTTAATATCAGATTTTGAAACATGTATGTCAGACTCCGTAATGTCTTTTATATGGACTTAAATCAAAAATGCCATTTGATATCAGTTTCAAACATTTTTTCTTCCATTGCAATAAACTGAAAAATATATTTGTAGGGTATTAGAATAAATCCAGTAAGTTTTAGCATTTGAAAGTTGCATTTTTTCAATCGTATATTAAATAGATTCAATAGAAATATGGACCTTAAGCTGAAAGAAAACCTGTGATTCATTTAAAAAAAATGTTTTTTCTATTTTTAATTTTGCATTTCCCAATACCTTTAAGCAGTTATATAAGTTTTTAGACTTATTTTTGAGATATATGAATGACAAGTTCTATGCCCCACAGGGTTTAAGTGCTGGATTATTTTTCCATGTTTTCCATGATCCCTATGAACCTTGGAGCACAAGTTTCACAGTTTTTGAAGAGGCACTCTTGATCATCATAATCTTGCACTTACTCATTGGAATTACTTTTGGGTACCAAGTGAGCCTCGTTATAAGCACACCTATTTTTATATTCATATAAAGCAGAACTCGTGCAAAATCTTATGCCTGAAAATAAGAAATAACATGCTGTGGCCTTCAACTAGACAATAAGATATATCGACGACGTATTGTCATTTAACAAAGGTCATTTCCATTCCTACGTCGATACGATATATCCTGGTGAGCTTGATTTAATAAAAGAATACCACAGAGTCTGACACATCTGTTTCATACTTGGATATTTTACTTGAAAAAGACGTTAATGGTAATCTTATAGCCAAACTATATTTTCTAGCGTCAACTTCACTTGCTTATGCAGCAATATACCTTCATCACCTGCATACGGAGTATATATATCTCAGTTAATTCGATACGCAAGAGCATGCGCTACGTGTTTCTAAAACGGGATAAATTATTGACAAGCAAATTAATGAAACAAGAATATCAGCAGTCTCGTTTAAAGTCATCGTTTCGTAAGTTCTATGGTCGAGACAATGACCTCAATTTATCATCGAGTCAAATGCTGACTGACGTTTTTCATACTAAACGTAAGTCCATTATTTAAACACTGAATTGACTACGGATTTTTCCATTATTTCCTGATCATGACAAGGAACACATGGCGGGTGTGATTGTTATCAGGGGATGATGCTCATCACTCCTCTATGGCACCTGCTCCCACCTCTGATGTTTCAGTAGTCCGTTTTTGCTCTGCTCCTGTTTTGTATTGTTTTACGGACTTTGAGTTTGAATTCTGTTCGTTAATTATATCCATATCCGTCTGTTCAATACCTAGGAGCAGAGAATGTTTATATAGAAATAATACATTTGTACCTTTAAATTTAACATCGCCCGCCAATATACTAGAACCTTTCAACCCAGCGGCATCCTTCCCGCTGAACACTTTAACCCGGGAAAACAAAATTTATAATTTTGGAATAGGCACTTTTGATCATCACTCCATTAACTTCATTGATTTATATACAGAGGGAGAAAAACGTTTTAAAGAATCCATGTTTTTACATCGTACTTCCGGAAACTGAAAAGGATTTCATAAATAAAATACATTACAGTTTCAAATAATGAACTAAAAAATTTGAAAGGTATAAACGCCATGGATTCTTCCTCAAATCACACGTTGACTACCCTTGATAAACCATTTTATGTATAGTTTCGTCTCTGAAAGCAGATAAAATATCTCTTGAATAATCTAAACACATAAAATGCCATGGTGAAAAATGAATAACAGGTGGTCATGTTAAAAGTATTTATTCATGATATTTTTTTTCAGAAAGGTAGAACAACATATAATTATTTATTTTAGTTCAGCATTTGTCTGAGATCTTTTCCTCGATGAGCAAGTAATCGCCCACATTCTTAAAATACGCACATTTCAGAATGTGTTGATCTTTCAGGATTTTAAAGGATTCCTTTCCGTACTTTATGGTCACCTCTCCTTGACCTTCCTTGTTTTTACTGAGCCGAACTGTGTATTTACATTCATTTCTATAGTGCGATTTGTAATAACAATTTCCAGACACTTTATAAACGACCTTGCAGTCTGGTCCTTCTTCCTGATAAATATTGCATGCAGCTGAAAATATATGACAACCATTTATTATTACATTATATAAAAATACGTTCATACCGGCATTTGTATTCTGATTTTTCTTATTAATTGAAAAAAAACGAAGCCCTACGATGGCCGATATGAGCCGTCAAAATACAAGTAAGAGTAGCTCTATTATGTACGTAGAATCAATGGCAAAACACAAGAAGTAGTAATAGTAATCTGTACATGTACAAATCTTGAGACAAAATACACTCGAGACTACTTAACATTCCTTAGGTTTATTGGGAAGATTATCTGTAAACTTAGAAGGAACAAAATCAAAAACACGTGTTGCTGTTTCCCTATATGTTCTCCTATTCCCCTCATTTTTAGTTGTTTAATAAATGGTGTGCACCTTATTTCAGTTGATTGCCAAAATTTAGCAAGATTGTTTTATTTTCGCCTTGATCCGTCTGTTTTTTTTAATTGTAGTCTCTGTTTTTTTTTTTTAATTTTAACTCTCACGACAACAAAATTATTAATCTTAACCTTAATTCGTAGGCCCCAAAATACTGATAAAAGATTAAAGAAACAATGAAGCTGCATTTTTATTAATTCTTTTCTAGCCCGATGAAAATCTGTTGCTTGATGATATGTGCAAGAAATGTGTTTATTTTTAATTTTATGCTCTGCCGTATCCATATTTTTATTCTCGGAACGAATAAATAGAAAAAAAATAGAATGTGGAAATATATAACGTTTTAGATAAAATGCAGCTCATTTACTATGAAATCTGAATAACGACTCTCATAAAATATGCCTTAATTAAATGATGGAAAAAACCGACAGATTAGATCGCTGACAATGTATGTAAAGGTAAAATCAGTGTTGCTGTTTTAAATATCATTAAAAACATTGGCATATATCATTTACATGTTTTTACCCATACTCAATTTAAAAAAAGAACAGAAACTGGTGTTTTCCGTCTCTGCTTTCACAAATCTACGGAATGTTTCTTCGTTCCAATGAGAAGAAAAATAATGAAGAAAAAAGTAATATGGAAAGAGGGCAAGTATAGTATGAAACAGGGGAGGATCCAGCCATTTTTGAAAGGGTGTTCCAGGGTTGTTTCCCTCTAACCACCCCCCTACAAACTCTCAAGCAAAGATTGACACACAATAATGGAAAGATCTAAGGTTGGTAAACATTATCTTTGTTTTACTTCCTTTTTTTCTTTGAAAACATACCCCCAGTCCAAATAGAAAATAAACACATTTCAAAAACTATTGAAGCCTTAAAATTGAATAGATTTGCAGCATTTCCGAAGAGTACAAGGGATTTTAATTTTTAGAATTTGAAAAAAAGTTTTTGAGGTGGGGTGCGGGTGGGGTTTAAAATAAAGAGTTACATGTTAGTTTCTTCAAAAGATATAATCAAAACAAGGTACATACATGTATATAGCCAACGAAGCCAAGATCGCGGGAATCTAATATCGAATTAAAAATCGCATGTTACATATCATACATAAAATATATAAAAATAAGTAGAATATTTTCTACCATATTCTCTCATTAAAAAAACAACAGTGAAGGTGAATGGAGGAAACTAAATGTGTGAGAATCTATCCATTCAATACATAAGTTAGAAATATTGACTAGTATTCTCGGAAAACGTTCTCTCTCTCTCTCTCCACTTGACAAAAAATAAAAGGGAGTTCCAACCCCTGGACCCCACCCCTCTCTTGATCCGCCAATGTGAAAAAATAAACACATTTCTTACACAGATCATCTAGAAACAGATTCTCTTCTAGCGGCAAAAGAAATAAAAAAGATGCAGATCTCTTGTTTCTTGAATTTTTAACCAGCATCTTGGGGCTTATGAATGAAGGTTAAGATTTTGTTGTCGTGAATGTCGTTGTCGTTGATTAGATCAAATTCGAAAATTTAAAAAAAAAAATCGCTGCATTTTGTGATCAATTGAAAAAAGGTACACAACATTTATTTAACAAAACAGAAGAAAATCAGCAACACGTGTTTTTGATTTTGTTCCTTCTAAGTTTACAGATAATCTTCCTAATAAATCTAAGGAATTTTAAGTAGTCTCGAGTGTATTTTGTCTCAGGATTTGTACATGTACAGATTACTATTACTACTTCTTGTGTTTTGCCATTGATTCTACGTACACAATAGAGCTACTCTTACTTGTATTTTGACGGCTCATATCGGCCATCGTAAAGCCCACATATATGAACATGTAACACATGTAGGAAGCCGAACATTTTTTTAAATTAGCTCAATAAGGACTGACGAATCAGCTACATAAACGAGTAGTAAAACCTCTAAAGTGTTAATAATAGACAGGTAGAGTACTTCGAAATATAAAGAATCAAAGATTTTATTTCAGATTCAAGCCATCCACTGATCTTTAAGTGTAAATGAAAAATTTAACTTTTAAATTTTACATCAAATATTTCTAAATAGCTATAAATAATAAAGTCAAAGATATATCTTTTAAATCTTATGAAGGATATAAATATATCGAAGAGAAAGACAGAAAGCCGATAAGATAGATATTAAGAAACAACGAGTTCTAAGGGTCTTAGACTGTTCTATTCTTAAGATAAACCGAATAACCCATAGTTAATTACACAATGTGAAAATTACATTGTACGTAAGCTTAAATTCATACATTTGACGGATTTTCTGTTCCTGCATTAATATGATAACAAAAATCCATAGAAAAGTAAAGCTTACCACACTCGGGAATTTCACAAAGTTCAAAACGTTTAGTTTTGTTGGTCGTATAGCACCAGGGTTTTGGCTCTCCATCAGGGTTTCGGCAGTAGTTTTTCTGGTTGCCAAGGAGACGACTGAAGGCGTGGGCATGGGGAGACTGGATCGACCACGATTGACATGTCAAGCCCGACTTGGTTGTAGACTTTAACCCCATGTAACTTTCCCCTCTTGGATCCAGTAAACATTCTAAGTAAATAATGAATCAAGATCGATTGTTTATGTGTATTTGATAAAAAAAATCAGAAATCGATGCATATTGTAGATACATAAAATGAAATTTATATTTAACAACAAAACAAAAACAAATATACCTTCTGCATTTTCTGAAGTAGGAGGAGCTGTGGAATAGACAAAAAATAAGTTTTATCATAAATACAAATACATGTATTATGTATGAAATCTATTTATAGGGTTTGAATTGTTTATTATGTTCATCTTTGTCAATAATATAAATGTGCCTTAATCTAATACTCTTATTCGAATAATGGGTATTTGTTGAAACACAAACGTAGTCATCTCACAGAGCAGCAATTATGTTCAGTAATTTGGATTCAAAGAGTTAAACTCTTTAATTAATTTCTTGTTGACACACCACTGTAAACATTTGTTTAAACTGTAATATCTCTTTGCCACATTTGACAATTAAGAGTAATATGCATGCACACTTTCAATATAAAAATGCATAATTAGTAAAAAAGGGAAAACAATATTGTTAATAAAACCATATTTCTTTACCACAAAGTGGTAAACCACAGAATTCCCATCTTGTTTGGGGGTCGTTTGTGTAGCACCAAGGGTGGGGCATTCCATTGGGATTACGACAATAGTTCTTGGTAAGAGTGTTGAATCTGTGTTTATGCGGGAACTGGGAGGACCATTCCTGACAGGATTTACCAGACTGTGTTCTGTTCCAGCTACCTTTATAATCATGGCCGTCCGCTGTTTTAATGCAGTCTGTAAATTAAAAGCATTTTATAACTGATTCTTCAGTACTAGAAAAGTAAGGAGCTGTGTCAGTTTTTAGCTCTACTGGTCAGAGACCAGAAGAGCTTATGCGATAGTAATGCGTCCGGCGTCCGTCCGTCTGTCTGTCTGTCTGTAAACAATTTTTCAAAATGCTACTCCTCCTTCAGTTTTGGTCTGATTTCAGTATAAATTGGCACACAAATAGACTACAATGAGATACATAATTCTGTGTATCGGTTTTTGATTTCGATGAACGGTGTTGCTGTTGTTACTAAAAATAGAAATTTCTGTGAAATTCATTTAAAACGCTACTCCTCCTACAGTTTTAGTTTGATTTCAATATAACTTGGCACCCAAGTAGACTACAATAAGATACTTAATTCTGTGCATCGATTTTTGATTTCGATGAACGGAGTTGCCGTGGTTACTAAAAATAGAAATTACTGTGAAATTCTTTCAAAATGCTACTCCTCCTACAGATTTGGTCTGATTTCAATATAGCTTGGCACACAAGTAGACTAAACTCAGATACATAATTTTATTTATGGGATTTTGATTTTGATGAACGGTGTTGTCATTGTTACTAAAAATAGAAATTTCTGTGAAATTCTTTTAAATGCTATTCCTCCTACATTTTTGGTCTGATTTCAATTTAACTTGGCAGACATGTAGACTAAACTAAAATACATAATTCTGTGTATCGGATTTTGATGAACGGTGTTGCTGTTGTTACTAAAAATATAAGAAATTTTTGTGAAATTCTTTCAAAATGCTGCTTTACCTACAGTTTTGGTCTAATTTCAATATAACTTGGCACACAAGTAGACTACACTAAGGTACATAATTCTGTGTATTGGTTTTTGATTTCGATGAACGGTGTTGCCATGGTTCCTAAAAATAGAAATTTCTGTGAAATTCTTTCAAAATGCTATGTCTCCTACAGTTTTTGTCTGATTTCAATATAGCTTGGCACACAAGTAGACTACACTAAGATACACAATTCTATATCTCGGTTTTTGATTTGATGAACATTATTGGCATTTATTGCCTTGGTTATTAAAAATAAGAATTTCTGTTAAATACTCTCAAAATGCTACTCCAAATACTGGCATACAAGTAGACGACACTAAGAACATAAAGAGACTCAATCAAGGGTCATTATTCTATTTATTGCTGTTGTAAAATTTCAATTCCCAACTACTACTTTTCTCTTCCTTTGCTATAAGTAAAAACCAGTAGAGCTTCAGTCTCCACAGAGACTTCTGGTAATTATATACTTTCTATTTTTGGTTAAATTAAAAAATGTGATGTTACCTAAAAAAAGTACAATTTTGTTCAAGTTGTGAAACAAAAGAAAAACAAATTCATGCATGAATTAGGAACAGTATTTTGTTAATTATGATATATGTATCCTGTTAAAATATTAGTATTTCTTCTCTCATGGCAATCTTGAGCCAGTACTAGAATCTTCCAAATTATTCAAATCGAGAAAGGCGTCTCAAGTTGTAAAAATATTCTTTTTTCAGTCTTTACCATTTGTGACAGCCATTTTCTTCACTGGAAACAAAGAAAGAAAATTAACTCAGCTTATATCATACCATCAATAATAAATAAAAGGAAGTAAACATCTTTCAGAACATTTGAATGAAAATACATAATGCATGAAGTTCATCAATTATTTTAACTTAATAATTTCAAAATATGTCTTTTGTTATAAACAAAATTTATTTCTTCACATCAATAGTATATTCATACATTGTAAAAATTGCTATACCTTCTTTAAAGCAAACAGTAAATAGCCCTCCACACTTTTCAGAAACCCATATTTCATCTCCATGTCTGCCATACGTCTCTCCACGTGCGCACGTAGGATTACGTGCACTTGGTGCAACGTTTAGCACTAATTCAGCATTTTTTATTACACAAACTCCCCTCTTTCCGTTTTTAGGTGTACAGTTGATTTGTGCTTTGCTTTCTTTACATTCAAATGGAATGATATAGCCTATGTAATAAATAAACATGAGGCCCATGAGTCGCATTGCTTACCTGAGGACATTGGCTTGGTAAAACACAAACCTCAGTATTGAAAGTTTCCTTGAAAGGGAAGGGCGATGGGGACTTGAATTGTATACTACATGAGGATTGATTGATTGATTGAATATTGTTTAACGTCCCTCTCCAGAATATTTCACTGATATGGAGACGTCACCATTGCCAGTGAAGGGCTTCAAATTTAGGCCTATGCTCGGCACTCAGGGCCTTTGAGCAGGGAGGGATCTTTATCGTGCCACACCTGCTGTGACACGGGGCCTCGGTTTATACGGTCTCATCCGAAGGACCGCCCCATTTAGTCGCCTTTTACGACAAGCAAGGGGGTATTGAGGACCTATTCTAACCCGGATCCCCACGGGGCTACTACATGAGGATGTCACCATATCAATACAGAACACTTCTACAAATATCTAACTTCTCCAGCCGTTCTTGAAAAAAAGATTTCTAAAGATTTTTCTCCTACAACCGAGTCATGATTTGGAAAAAAATAAAGAAATACTTGGAAATTTTTTTCTATATATTCTTATGTAAAACGATGATCGCTCATTATGACCCAATCTAACCTCGGGCGTCTTGAACCTTCGATTAATTTCATGTAAGAATCACTAATAATGAATCTGCTGTTCTCCAGAAAAGCTTTGGACATTTTGCTCCACCCTACAACCAGGGGTCACGATTTGATCAAATGGTCAAATTTGTTCGTATGAAGATTGTTTGCTTTTAAACTAAAGCCTAGTAATATCCCCTTGGAAGAGAATATGACCCTTTATTTGAACAAACTTGAATACCATTCACTCTTGGATACCTTGTTACAAATTTGTTTTAAATTGTTACAGTGGTTCGTAAGAAGAAGATGAAAATTTGAAAAAGTTTACTACAACGACAATGCCAACGACGACGATGACGACAACGACGACAGACAGCCGACAAATTTCGATCAAAACGCACGTGAGCCTTAGGCTCACGTGAATTAAAAATTAACTGGTAAAAAAGTCAGATACTTTATACGAGTTCTGTTCCTATCTCTGATAAACACGTGTATGAAATCTCTTATTTGAATGCACGCCTTATCCTAACAATTTAATCATCATCTTGTTCCCTTATAATAAGTCCCTATATTATTTATTGCCCATTAGTAGTATATCCTAAGAAATCAATTCAGACCTTGTCTTCAGCTTAACATGTTTTTCTTAAATAAAAAAATTGAGAATATACCTAATATTTCTTTTCGTACATGATAACATGTATTAAGATACAAATATTTGCTTACTTTTCAATTAGCTTACCGATTGACTTTTATACATGGCAACGGTAAGGATATGATTATAAAGGTAACATAGTCGAAGATGAAATATTTTTTTTAAATCTGTTTTAATTACAAAACAATATACAATGTAGTGATTGGTGATTTCCGTGCGTGTTTATTAACTAAGATTTATGCTTTAACTTCTATTATATTGACTATGTTGCATTACGCATGTCTTTGAAAAAGATATTTCATTGCTGTTTTGTGAGCTTGAATGTATTCAATGTGGTTTTTCTTTTGTTGTTCTTACGATTTTTATAGATGCTTATCCTCCAATGTCCCCCACAAAACTGATCGGAATTCCCTCGACATTGCTGACTACAATCCATTTCTGGCTTTCTCACCAGCTGTGTAAGGTTTCCACAATAGCAATGCATGGAAGACTAGAGTAAGAATAACTCTTGTAAATATTTTTATGAAAACAATTCATCGTCAAATTATAAATGCCATCATATATAATGAGATTATATATTTACAATGATTGTATATTTTAATCAAGAATGTTATATGTTTATTATAAACCAATGGATCCATTTCTCTTATTCAATTGTATTGAATCAGGCCAAAGTGAGTTATGTCAAATAGGTCACACTTTTTACTATAATACTTTTATAAACTTTTGATTTTTTTTTTTATAAAATATAAAATAAAACTAACCATAAATAACATGGTACTCAGTAGAAGTTGTTTTTTTTGTTTGTTTTATAAAACAAAAAGAACATAAATGACATGCATGGTACTTGTGGGAAAGCTTTTTGTGCCTCTGAATCAGATTGGTTCATGTATTGTTTTGTTAATGCTATATTTTACTATTCTCATGCTTTATAAAACAGGGCAATATCTCAGATTATGATCCACATGTTAAAGCTCTAGAGCGAATACAACAGAATTAGAGTTTCATTTGTTTAAACATTTTTGTTTCCATATTTACCTGCAATGAAATGTTTTCGCCGGACGTAAAATTTTCTTTGAGAAATTCTTAAGCAATAATTTATGTAATTATATCAAGTTAAATTCTTTAATGTAATAAAGATTTAATCTGCAAAGAATTGATAAATAATTAAACAGGTACTCGTAAATTTACGGTGGAGAAGAATTGAAAAATCGTTCTCTCATCTGTTGTGCAATCATAAAAAAAAATATATGAATAAGACACCATAAAGTATATTGATTAAGCAAAATATTTAATATACATGCTTAGAATATACATATGTCTTACATTTTATACAACCACAGGATAATTTACCTCTAAGCCATAAAATTCGGCATCCTGCTTCTTGCAAAATTCCTTACACATTTCTACAGTCATTGAGTTTGATGACATATGCTTTCCATTTAGAGTTCGGGTTGACTGATCTTGAAAACAGCCGAGATAACCTACAAACTCAAAATACCACATAAACAGAATGTAAACGAGTTTACAAAAATAAGGTTTCTGTAGGAGAAGAAGAAAATAATGAACAAAAAACAAGCAGTCATTATTTACTGGAAATCCTACTTGTATACATGTACTTAATTTTACTACGATGGATATATACTTTGTAAAAAAAAAAATAAAAGCACATTTCACAACTAATCGTCAATTCAAAAGTCACAAATTAAATAAATGAGTTATTCAATTCATTGTAAAAAATCATTTTTCATTACTGTATGAAATTAGTTTATACAAAGAAATGATTACATTGTACGTACAGGCTGTTGCCTTCTGATTGGAAAAAAAAAATATTTAAGCTTTCGTTACAGTGAGTTAAAGAAAGAAAATTAACATGACAAACCGTAATTGAATTTTCGGTTGAATAGATAAAACAATATTGTTATTACGTATTACCAGCATCTTTTTATATGCTTTAAAAACTATAGAAGTGTCTAAAGAAGTGTCTCAAAAGAAAAGAATCGACGTGAGGACAACTATCAAACTGAAGATATAGTAAACCTTCTAATGAATAAACACCTTTTTCATAGTTGGCATTTTTATAAACACTTATCCTCGAATTTCCTCCACAAAACTGGTTGTCATTTCCGCTGCACCTGGCGTTGCATTCTTTTTCCGCCTTTCTTACATTTTGTCTAATTACATTACCACAAAAACATTTGTTTGAATCCTACATGAAACAAATTTGGTTGTTTTAATATTTTTTCATCAAACATTTATCAAATATTTACAAATCTTGAGCAGATATATGGAAAAATTCCATAATCCAGCTTTACAAAAATAAGTAAAGATCAGTTAAAATAATATTATTCTCGAACATTCCCTAAACTTGAGTTCATTAAAAATATGAATCTAGTAATGAAAATATAGTCAAGCACATTTGATGGATTATTAAAACGGCAAGAATATTTAGATTAATTATTCTAATATTTTTACAGTCAATTACAAATGAAATTATAAAATCCAACTGATTTAAAAAAAAATAGACAAAAGCGTGTATCGGGAATTAAGAATAACATCATAAAAACAATTATAGTAGAACCTCTAAACCATAAAATCTTGAATCGTGTTGCTGACAAAATTCTTTGCACTTTTCTACAGACATTGAAGTTGACGCATTGGATCTTCCATTTAACGTTCGGCTAGGTTGGTCTTGGAAGCATCCAACATATCCTAATGAAAATGAAATGTTAATATTATGTGTGCTTCATATTAAAAGTCGTCAATAGAGAACATTGAAAGTTTTCTCTACATAACGGTTCACATTCTTCGTAGGTAAAAAAAAAAACCCATCTTTTTATTTTTATGAGATTTTAATATTAATCCTAGCCTCAGCTGATTTTTTTCTAATCAGTACCGAATATAATGTATGAGCAAATGTTATTCTTGTACGATAGGTTATTGCTTAGTTTCATCAACAAATATATCATGAGCTTATATCTGCCTGAAGTAATTTAATACTTGATATCGCGATTACTTAACTTAGCGGAACTCTTTCGCGATGGAGATAGGAAACGTCTGCTGGGTGGGGGCAAATGTTCTATTTAATACAATGCAAGATCGATCATAGTAGCATTCATAAGGACAGATAAGTAAAAAATCCTGGTGGAATACCTTGCTTAACAATCGTTGTACCAGCCTAATAAATTTTTGAGAGGAGCCAATCCTAAATTGTTACATTTTAAACAATATTTTTAAGTAAGCGTACTCTTCTCGTTAAATTTTCATTGAAAATCGCCACATTTTAAAGCATACAAAATATTCTAAACTTTCCTTATTTGACAATCTACTATTTGGAGTTCAATATCTTGCAAATATTGTGATTTCGGCATTAAATTGTTGGAATCAGTCGATTGTCACTACTGTAAACAATGTCATGTGCCCCAGAAATTTAGACCTTCCTCGACTCCCACGCAAAAGAGCGGTAGTAAGTTAGATAACTGCGAGGTACTTATTGGTGGTCGCGATATTACGTATTTAGATAATGATTCTGATGTTGAATCCAAAGGATTGATCACCAAAGAATATAAATAAAATATCATAAAAGAGTCTTCAAGGTGCAAATAAGGCAAATATTGCTACATGGAGTAACCTTGGTTTAGATCCCTTCCAGATTGATAAAAAATATCAATAAGGATAAATTTGTATTTGAAAAAACATTAAAGATCAGGGAAGGAATAATTGTTTTGAGAAACAATTAGGGATAAATATTTGGAGACTACAAAAAATATTCAAATTCGTATTATTGTTTAGTTACTTTTATTGACTTCAGGAAAATGGCAAAGGAAGGGTATATATTTTTAATATATATTTTCTAGAAAGGTATCGTCTAAAATGTATGCATATTTACTGTAGATTATATGAAAGTTTTTTTTTTTTTTTTTTTTTGCTTTTCAAATGACAACTTTAATTTAATATACTTAAAGAATTTTTTTTCTCAAATATTGCGTATAATGATCGGTGCTTTATTTCACATCATATTTAATAATCATATAGTTCTCTCGTCCAATTTCCAGAAGGACCATATGAAAATATTTATAAAAACATTTTTCACAAGTATGAAATATACAAATGATTCATGAATGAAAAAAGGATATCAGAAAATGATAAGGAAGTTTATTAATTTCAAATTATTTCTTCATATTTTTGTTGTAACTTTTTGCTCAATGACCTTAAAAAAATATCACAAACACATCACTACAACATTATCTACCATCAGTAAAAAAAAATCATATGCAGTGAATGTATGCATTGAGATCCTGTAGTTCAGACTGTTTTTTTGTATTGACTTAATATGCTATTTGGGACGCAACTTCTCCACTTAATATTTAAAAAATGATATGATCCTATACCTTTATCAAAGTCTCTATTTATATAGAGACTCATCCTATAATATCCACCACACCATTGATTCTTATTTTTCGAGCACGGTTGACTACAATCTATCTCATCTTTACGAATTGTTTTTCCTAGATCGCCACACAAACACCTTTTGCCAAACTACAAGTAATTTACTTATTATTTATTTTAAAACAAAATAATTCATTTTACAAAATAAGCGACGTTCAACTTACTTGAATAACGAGGATGGCTTTAGAAATAATGCTTTTTATCCTTAAAAATGGTCAGAAAATATTTCTACTGAAGGTAAGAATACATATTGAATTGTAATTAGATATTTGATATATGTTGAATTACCGCTACACCATAGAAATGAGCATTCTGTTTTCCACAAAATGCCTTGCACAGATCCAGACTGCCGTAGTCCCAACCTATTTTACCATTTCTCAGAGATTTTCCATCTTCGTATTGGAAACAACCAATATAATCTAGAAAAAAATATATAAAACCTTTCGATAGAAAATAGCAGTCCATGTATTCATAAAGTAAATTGAAATATGAATCTAATTATTATAATTTTAAAATTTCATGTCTATGAATTCATTGTTTTTCGACACAAGAACATTAAACACGGTAAAAGGACTTGTTAAGGTATTAGAAGGTCCTGCGTTAGAATCATTTACTCATGTCCGTAGAAAAGTTACAAAATTTTCTATCTTCAAGTGCTGGACATTTTGAAGTAAAAGTATTTGACCCTTCGAATGAAATTTAAAAAAAAACGCCTGTGTTATAATAGGCGATTTAAACAAGTTTTACTTTAAAAATTTATTTTGAAATTTCATGTTATCTATAATATCCTTTTACCTCTTTGATAATTGAGATTTTTATAAACACTTTTTCTCCGTCCCCACCACAAAACTGTTTATCATTTCCACTGCATTTGGAACTGCACTCTTTGTCAGGCTCTCTTGGTACTTTGTGAAAGCGAGCTTCCACAAAAACACTGATATGAAGCCTATAAAGAAGAAAATTGTATCTATCAACTTAATTCAGAGTTTTACATTTCCTTTCAAATTTGCTGTTGAGGTAAAATACGCTCAAACACACTAGTTACAAATATGTTATTATGTGTATTTTATTATAAGCTGTTTCTGTTAATGTAATGGTACATTAGAAAGGAATGTTCATGATTGAAAAGCTCGATCATCATCATATTTATCACAATGTTCCCCAGCAAATCTTTTTTTCTGGTATGCACAAACAAAAAAGAACAAAACTCTAACCTGGTTCAAATTTGATTTTAAGAGGAAAAATTTAATTAACGGAGGAATTTCAATTACTATTTTCATTCATCGAACGTTGTCTTTCGATATGTCCAAATGTTACAGCACAAAATGGAAAATCAACGGTAACAAAACTTTCCAAAAAATATGTAACTATATGACAACTTGCAAAGACCAGATTTTGGGAAATGTCTCTTTATATAAGCGAATGGCTTCTAAAAGCAAAAGAATAAGAACCTCCAAACCGTAGAATTGTTCATCCTGGTGTTGACAGAATACTTTACATTTCTCTACAGTCATGGAATCAGGTGAGATGTGTATTGTTTCATTATGTATATAATTAGTAACATTAAGTTTCTTGAACATTCCAGAGTGGTCAACATGTTCGGTCATTTTATCTAGAACATTCTTAAATTTTGTGTATGTCCAGATTGTTCCAGTAATATCATGTTTTAACAATTTCTAGAATATTCTAGATTTATGATACTATATAAATACCTTGTCAATTCGATGCATATAAAATACTTTGTCGTATAAGCACTATTGAGATATAAATGGGATATATTTTCACTGGGACATTGTGTGCAGCAACGGACACTCTGATGTATGTATTTTTAGATTCTTGCTAAGTTTGTACTTTATGTTTGATATATTTATTATATATTACTGTAAATAAATTATTGTTAAGTTTAAATTGTGTTATTGATCTTTGCTGGCATTTAGGGTTATTCTGACCCATAACAGAATTGGGGGCTCGTCCGGGATAAAGAATTTCTTGCACTTTTGCAGTTTATTGTCAGAATTTTGTTTATTGAACCGTTAAATTTGATTATAAGCCAGCAGAAATCAACATGGTATTTTCGGTCACAGACTTTCTTAGTTCACCAAGTGTTCAGGTTTTTGATACGTTAAAAAAGGATGACTTGATCGCATTAGGTTTGCATTTTGGGTTAGATGTTAAATCCTCTCAGAGAAAGCAAGACATTAGAATTAAGGTTGCAAACAAACTAGTAGAAGAAAACATCTTTGAAAAATACGATCTTCCAGAATATACAGTTAAATCAGAGTTAGGCTCTTATAAAATGGCAGAATATCAGTTTCAATTAGAGTTAGAGAAAATGCGATTTGAAAGAGAAAAATTAGAAAGAGAAGATCGAGAAAGGGAAAGAGAAGAGCGAGAAAGAGAAAGAGAAGAACGAGAGCGTGAACGAAAATTTGAATTAGACAAATTAGAAAGACAAGAGCACTTTGAGTTAGAGAAATTAAGATTACAGCACCAACCAGAACCGTCATTTGTCAAGAATGAATTTGATGCAGCAAAAAATATTAGGTTAGTTCCGAAATTTCAAGAAAAATCTGTAGACAAATATTTTCCCCAATTCGAAAAAGTCGCAGAGAATCTTAAATGGCCACAACACGTTTGGTCAACAATGTTACAAAGTGTACTGGTTGGCAAAGCAGCTGAGGTATACTCTGCACTAGGGGTAGCTGAAAGTTCAGACTATGAGAAGGTCAAAGCAGCAATATTAAAAGCATATGAATTAGTACCTGAAGCATATAGACAAAAATTCAGAAAGTATAGGAAGTTTGATAATCAAACATTTGTTGAATTTTCACGAGAGAAAGAAGATTTATTCGATCACTGGTTTAGATCTAAGAAACTTGATAAAACTTTTGCTAATTTGCGCCAAGTCATCCTGGTAGAAGAGTTTAAGGAATGTGTTCCTCAAGATTTGAAAACACATTTAGAAGATAAGAATGTGAAAACTCTTGAAGAGGCAGCAGTCATATCTGATACTTATGCTCTGTCTCATAAAAAGAATTTTGTTTCAAGATCTCAGACTAGCTGTAATTCTACCAATTCAGACACATATAAAAAGAGTGGTTCAGGGTCTCAGTCTTTCAAAAGTTCCCAGTCTCCATCCCAAGGTGGTTTTAAGTCCGGTCCAGGACGTTTTGAAGGATCTTCTGGAATAGGGTCGCTTCCTACTTGTAGTTATTGTAAGAAAAAAGGTCATCTGATCAGTGAATGCTTTAAACTTAAGAGAAAAAATGATTTTGATAAAACTCAACCACACGCTTGTGCGGCAGTTAGAGGTGATAGAGAAGCCTTAGTTTCGATTTGTTCTGACACTCCTGATGTCCAGGGTTCACAGTCCAGTTCTATTGATTCTATGGAGGATTATAAGCCCTTTATGTCTCAGGGATTTGTTTCACTCGGTGACTCTAGCGAAATAAAACCTGTCCAGATTTTGAGAGATACTGGTGCTGCACAGACGTTATTGTTAGAGGGCGTGCTTCCTTTGTCTGAGCAGACTTCTACTGGTGGGTCAGTTTTATTACAGGGTGTGGAGCTAGGCGTCATTGATGTTCCCCTGCATAGAATTAGTTTGAAGTCAGATTTAGTTACTGGACCTGTTATCGTAGGTGTTCGACCTACTCTTCCCGTTCCAGGCATTTCTTTGTTGTTAGGCAACGATTTAGCTGGTGGGAAGGTTGTACCTGATCCTATAGTTTGTGAGAAAATCACTTCCAATGTCATGTGCGATGATGAAGATGATGACATTTATCCAGCCTGTGCTGTTACTAGAGCGATGGCCAGAAGACGAGAAATGGAGGCAGACCATACTCAAGCCTTTGACGAGACGAATTCCTCTGTTGATATTGATTTGAATGACACTTTCTTATCTGACCTTGATGGCACTCAAACAAGCATGGAACCACACAATATCAAGAAGCAAGAGAAGAAAGAACTTTTACCAAAATTTGGTGGTGAGGATGATGAGTTGCATCCACTAGTTAGCCAAGGCAAGGACATCCTCAGCCGAGAACGTTTACTCTCTGAACAACATAAAGACCCAGATATCATTCAACTTAGTAAGAGGGCACTTCCACCAGAAGAGGCTACTAAAGTTGGAGAATGCTTCTATATGAAAGATGGCATCCTTATGCGAAAATGGCGACCACCTGACGCTTCTCCAGATGAAGTGTGGCGTGTTGTTCACCAGATAGTGGTCCCAGCTGCTTATCGTCGAGATGTCATGAGTTTAGCTCACGATACACCTATGGCAGGTCATTTAGGTATCAATAAGACTTATAATAGGATTTTGAGTCATTTTTATTGGCCTAAGCTAAGAAAGGATGTTTCGAAGTTTTGCAAGTCATGCCATGTCTGTCAGATGGTAGGTAAACCAAATCAGAAGATACCATCTGCTCCTCTCCAACCCATTCCAGCTTTTGAAGAACCGTTTAGTCGAGTGTTGGTGGATTGTGTAGGACCTTTGCCTAGGACTAGATCTGGGAAACCAGTATTTACTTACCATTATGTGTACATCCACTCGATTTCCTGAAGCCATACCTCTTAGGAATATAAAGGCAAAGAGCATAGTTAAGGCCCTAACCAAGTTTTTCAGTTTTGTAGGAGCACCCAAGGCAATTCAGTCGGATCAAGGCTCAAATTTTATGTCGGGGTTGTTCCAGCAAGTCATGCATGAGTTGGGTATAAGGCAATATAGATCAACTGCTTATCATCCTGAGTCCCAGGGAGCGCTAGAACGTTTTCATCAAACCCTAAAAACAATGCTGAAGACCTATTGTTACCAGTATGAGAAAGACTGGGATGAAGGGGTTCATCTTGTGCTATTTGCTGCACGAGAAGCAGTCCAGGAGTCTCTTGGGTTCAGTCCTTTTGAATTGGTGTTCGGTCATACAGTTAGAGGTCCTTTGAAATTGTTGAAGGAAAAGTGGCTGACTGAGACTAGTGATCTTAATCTTTTAGATTATGTGTCTGATTTCAAAGAAAAACTTTACAATGCTTGTAAATTAGCACAAGAAAATTTGAAGAGTTCTCAGATGAAAATGAAAATGTGGTATGACAAAGATGCCAGAAATAGGGTGTTTAAGCCAGGTGATAAGGTTCTTGTATTTTTACCTATTCCTGGTCATCCTTTACAGGCCAGATTTTATGGCCCTTATGAAATTGAAAGCAAGATCAGTGATGTAAACTATGTAGTTAAGACACCAGGTCGACGTAAAGAGAAACGGGTTTGTCACATTAACATGTTAAAAGAGTATTTTGAAAGGTGTGACCGAAATTCTGTAAAACCAGTTTCCACTTTAGCCAATGCTAAGACTGTTCAAAATTGTATTGAAAGTGATACGAGTGTAGAAATGAATGAGAAAGATTGTAATCAGAGTGTCCGCTTGAAAAACTCAGAAATTTTGGCTGATTTTGATGCCAAACTTGGACATTTGAACATTCACCAAAAAGAACAAGTTAAAAACTTGATGAATGAGTATCATCAAATCTTTTCGGATGTTCCAAAGAAAACTAATGCAGCTTGTCATGATGTCATAGTGAGTGACGTTCTGCCTATCAAACAACATCCGTACCGTCTGAATCCAATAAAATTGCAGTACCTAAGAAGGGAAGTGCAGTACATGTTGGACAATGACATTGTTGAACCTAGTAAAAGTGATTGGAGCTCACCGTGTATTCTTGTACCAAAACAGGACGGTTCGTACCGATTATGTACAGACTTTAGAAAGGTGAATTCTGTTACCAAAACTGATTCATATCCAATACCTAGAATCGATGACTGTATTGACAACATTGGAAACGCGAAATTTGTCAGTAAATTTGACCTGTTGAAAGGCTACTGGCAAGTACCGTTAACAGAAAGAGCAAAAGAAATATCTGCTTTTGCTACACCAGATGGACTTTACCAGTATAAAGTAATGCCTTTTGGCATGAAAAACGCACCGGCTACATTCCAAAGGATGATTCACTCCCTTCTTCAAGACCTTGAGGGATGCGAGGCCTACATTGATGATGTCGTCATATACAGCAACACATGGGACGAACATCTCCGAATCATGCGTGCTTTATTTGACATTTTAGCTAAAGCAAACTTAACTGTGAATCTTGAGAAGAGCGAATTTTGTCATGCTTATGTAGAGTATTTAGGTCATAAAGTAGGTCAAGGTTATGTTACACCCATTATGGCTAAAGTGGAAGCTATTGCAAAGTTCCCGATTCCTACAAACAAGAAAGAATTAATGAGGTTTTTGGGCATGGCTGGGTTTTACAGAAAATTTTGTCCAAATTTTTCCTCAGTTGTTAGTCCACTTACAAATCTTTTACAAAAGAGGGTTAACTTTGAATGGACAAAGGACTGTGAAAAATCCTTTCATAAAATCAAATCTGTCCTTATGAGCAACCCAGTTCTGTCAACTCCAGATTTTTCTAAGCAATTTA